TTCTGGAAAGAATAAACCCATCTCTCACCTTGGCCATGTGTTCATACAACAGGTGCAAAAATGCTTGCTCCTGAAGCCGATTCCAGGAAGTTCTCGAGACATGGAGAGCTCCTCTGTGCAAAATGAGACAAGCTCAACGCTTCAACCACGGGAAGTGAAGCCTCATGCTTTGGATGCTACTGCTATTGCTTGCAAGAGTTGTTGCTTGACTTTGATTCTTCCAGAATCTGGTTTATATATGTTCGGAACTTCTCAGCTTGAGGGCCAGGTCTTACAATGTTGACGTTGCTCCACTGGGAGCAAGGATCACTGAACCACCTCCTTCTACCTGTGCACCACGCACCAGGAACAGGTCTGTGACGCCAACGTCGAAGCACTTTATCATCAATCTTGTCCAACAGCGGTTCATTCTCCTTAAACTTCCGGGCAAAAGGAACCCCACTCCCTACTAGCTCATCATAATGTGTAACATTTAGGAAATGGGGCTCCATCTGAGGTGGATTGTCCCACACCATATACCGCAAGTCGTTGTTCACTGTAAAATTGCGGAAATCCGAGTTGCATGCAACCGAATGGAAATACCCCTCTAGAGGTAGCATCACGTTTGTGAAGTACATGAGGAGTGTTCTAGGGAGATTCTCCCAACCAAAAACACAGTACTCAACAAAGCGTCTGTTTAAAATGACCCATGGAGAACCTAACAGAAAGGGAATGCATGTGTTAGAAAACCATTTCATCAAGCGGGTGAAGAAACAAAGTGCAAGTAAAGAGAAATGCCTGTGAAAAATTTGAAACCATCAGGAGTGTCCCGTTTCTCTGTGGCTTGGAAGAACTGATTCCTCCCTGCCAAGTATATTCCGGCATCTACTATAATCGGTTGCACTCTCTGAGACCTACAAAAGAAGTATACTGGTGAAACTAACAGCAGTGCACTGTGTACCATTCACCATTGCTATGTTCAGATAGAACATACTCTTTCCATCCAATGTCACTGGTGTGATCAATAAAGTTGAGGTGCCTTGGAACAGAGGAGAAAACATGAATCAAGTCTGCAGCAAGGGACAAAAACAAAACAGAGAGTCATGAACAGGAAACTCAAGAACCCCTAAGAGGTGTCAGTCGGGATACAAAAGCCAAAAGCAAAAATTAGAACATGCTAGCATCTATTAAAAACAAAATTACACTTCAATAAGAAAGGGCGAGAACTACATGTGACATAGCGGAAGCAGCACATAACACAGATCAAATTACAATACTTACCATGTACAGTATAACATAAAAAAAGGCAATGTCATACAGGTAGTGTCAGAGGAAATGAGGAAAAAGGACAACATAAATCAGAGCATCAGACTGCATCCTGTGTTGAGAATTCAGTGGTGCACTTGTTAAAGCTCTCTCAATTGTTCATTAAAATGAAGGGTTAATCAGTTGCTCTCTTAGTTGTTCATTAAGACGAAGGGTTAATCCCAGCTAGATGGCACAAACAAAGCCACAGCAAGAGTTGCATAGCTTGTTCCTGACTATTAGAGTCCTCATATAAGGATGAGAGCATAAATTAGTCATGGAGTGGTTGAGCTGGTATGGTACCAAAATAGAGAATGAAGAAGACAGCATGCCAATCTAGTAGTTGCACTATATATCTCCACCTAAGGCGGCTATGGCACAACAGTCCAACAGGATTCCAAACAAGCAAGTTCTTCCAACATCACCTAAACGTAGCAGCAGCAGCAGCAGCAGGCCACATCCTAATCCGGGTGGGGTAGTGGGTCTTCGGTCCTTTCAGGCATATTTATGCATTCAATTATGCTACTTGACAGATAACATTAAACATCACTTAATACAAGTCAGCAACATGCTGTGAAGAATACAAAATTGACTTTTGTAGCTACGGCTCAACCGAACAGTGGCAGTTGCTCCCCTTGCAATTTCCTGATCTGTTCGTACAGCATGCTTTGCCTCCAATTCAAGAACGGCAATGGTCGGCAAACGCAATTTCGAGTCATTGGTATCCATATCGACTAAGTAAAAGAGCTCAGATTTACCTTAGATCCGGACAAGTCTGTGAAGCAAAACTGCTACTCAAACGGATCGTGCTAATAGATGGGAATCGAGCATTTGAATCTTACCGTCCTGGGTGAGAAGGGGGTAGTCGGCGGCGTTGAGCGTGACGAGCCAGTCCCACTCCGCATCGAGCCGGAGCATCGCGGCGGCCGCGCGGAGCGTGGCGGCGAGGCCGGAGGAGCCCATTGGGGTGCCCGCAGTGGGCCTGCCCACGACATCGACGTTACCGAAGGCGCGCACGGCGGGGGCGGCGCGCGCGACAGCCGCGGCGAGCTCGGCGCGCTCGGAGGCCGGCGCGTCGGCGGAGAGGTGGAGCAGGTAGCGGTTCCTGGGGTGGTAGACGGCGAGGAGCAGCCGCAGGAGCTTCCTGCCGTCGCCTCGGTCGCCCGCGAGCAGGTAGGCGAAGGAGGGCGGCGCGGCGGCGCCCCGGCGCACGTAGGAGGGCGGCGGGAGGCGCGCGAAGAGCGTGGAGGAGGCGGAGAAGCCCGAGAGCGCGGAGAGGAAGAGCAGGAGCGAGACGAAGGAGACGGAGACGAGCGGGAGCAGCCACTTGTCGGCGGCGCCCATGGCTGGCTGCTTGGTGTCGGCCGGCGGGCAAGCGCGCACGCTGAGTTGGTGGTTGGTGGTGGTGACGCGCCGCGCGTCACCGCCGCCGCATTCGGGGCTAGGGCTCCGGCGACGACGGCCGGGCGGTGGCGGGCGGGGGATTAGGGTTTGGCGAGATCGCATCGGGGAGAAGGGAAAATAGCGAGATCGGGGTGGCGCTTGGCGCCGCGCTGCTGTATTTTCTGCTCGCGGCTCGCGTGCGTTTCTCTTGCTTGGCAATGGGAAGACGGGGGAACGGGAAGGGAGGAGGGACGCGAGCGTGACGCGCGTCGCTTTGTACCACCGCAACACGGGGATCGCTTCCGCGGCCCCGGCTATGGGCCTGTGGCACACTGGCAACTGGGCACCACGTTCCCATGGGCCCAGCAGTCATACGGACGATGTAGACCTTGCCGCCTGGGTTGCGGGAGGTTACGGCACGGGTCCCGCGCGGTCAGAGCGACGACAGTCACGACGGCACACGCAGTAAGTCATGGGTGGGGGGTGGGGGTGTGGGGGGGGGGGGGGGTCGCGCGGCCGAGCGAACGGCGCTTGCTTCCTTCTCACGGTTCACACTTCACCTGCCTACCCAGCCACACGACACTGACGCGTGGGCCACGGAGGCGTGGTGACGATCGGAATAGTGGGGGGTAGGCAGCGGGTAGCTGGGGAAGTGGGTGGGGGGGGTGTGTGGAAGGCGTCACGTCAGGGTGGACGTTGATTCCACTTGGTGGGGCCCAGATGGCAGAGGCGCGCGGGCGAACAGCGGCAGCGCTGACGCTTCTGGACTCTGGAGAGTGTGGCGGCGTCATGGGTCATGGCCAGCTTGGGATTTTTAATTCGTTATTACAGTATTAAACACAATCTCCCGAGTCTTGTCTGGGCCGCACAGCACTTAGCGAAGCCTAGCTGTAATTAAGAACCTTCCGTTGGTTGCTTCGGCCGCTATCTGCTTTTGAGCTTCTTGCTTGTACCGCACACCCCCTGCTTCTCTTTTTTGGAGATTATAAACCTACTGCAGAAGACTTTGTACGGTCAGCGTGTTTGCTTGTTGGTTTCAGTCAGAGCTTATTAGTCAATCAATAGTATTTTTCTCTCATAATAAACCAGCACCAACTAGATTTATCAGTCCAGAAACCAACCAGCGAATAGACCGGGTATCTAAAGCCAGGCGACCCGGAAGAAAGTCAGCTTTTAGAATCCGGGTTTCAGTGCAGTGCAACGACTTTACAGGTACGCACCCTGTTGTCGTGGAATGTGTTGCCTTGTGTAGACAAAAAAAAAAGATGAATCATTTGGTCATGTTGGTTTGAACTTATCGGCCTGACTTATTAATTATTGTACAGTGTTTTTTTTTTTTACAATAAAATAACATTAGCCTGGCTTATCAGCCGAACAGCTGATGTGATACAATTTTCCTCGACGATCTTTCTCGTGATTGAAGTACGCTTTCACACTTCCTCTCATTGTCATAACAAAAGCAGTAGGCGCTGGATGTTCTACTATATGGATAGTGATGCAAGATTTATCTTCTCTATCTAGATTGTTTGTGTTGGTTGGCTCAAGGCTCGTCTAACTAAAAATAAATTTATGTCAAATTAGGCAAAAGTATGATTAGCACAATAAGCTAAATTGGCTGGCACAGAACCAATTCTACTTATAGGAATAAAGCATGCTCACCATTTCTTGCAACGCATTCGCTCATTCCGAGACGGAGAGCCTATTCACTTGTTGGTTTTTGGGCTGATAAGCCCGACTGGTGCTGATTTGTGGTAAGAAAAAAACACTGTTGACTGACTGATAAGCTCTGTCTGAAACCAACAAGCGAACAGGCTGAGAGAGCCATAGAGGGAAAAACAGGTTTGCTATCATGCATGATTTGGTCCCATGAAAGGAAATTTTGCTCTCTTTTTTTAGTGGAATGAAAGGAAACTTTGCTACGATTACGAAACGAACCGAGCTGCGTAGTTAGCTCAAAGTCACGGCCTCACGGGTCGATATCGAATGCCCACCTGGCCACCAACCTTAACCCAAATCGCTGGATCACTGCTTCACAAACGAGCCCAACGAAACTAATCTTACAGCCCTGGCCCGCAGCAGAAAAGGCCCAGTTCAGCAACACATCCAGCAATCCGTCTCCTTCCCCATCTCGTCGCTCAAATGCCGCAACAAACTCACCACCACCACACGAACTGCTCTCCTCAGTCCTCACACCCCGCAGAAGCGCAGAGGCTAAACCCCCTCTTAGACCCCGTTGCCGCTTGTCATTCTCCGCGTCGCTCTCCGCCGCCTCCACGGACGTCCCGGAACCTTCTAGATTGAAGAGGGGATAGCCATCGGCGTCAGCGTGTGTGATGGAGGTCAGGGGGCTGGGGCAGCTCCTGGCGGCGCTGGCCGCGGCGTTCTTCGTCCGCGCCATCGCGGGACCCGGCCCCGCCCTCCTTCCGCCGGCGGAGGACGACGCGGAGGCCGGCGAGGGAGGTGGCGGTGGCGTGCCGCCCGTGACCATCCGGTGGGCCCGCATCACCTGCGCGTTGAAGAACAAGCGCGGGGAAGTGGTGAGTCGCTGCACCGCCGCCACGGCACCACCTCTTCCCATCTCGCCGCAGCCGCGCGCACGAAACCCTCGCATTGCCCGTTTGCCCCTCTGTCCGTCTGTCATCCTCTCATGACTCATCCTCTCGTTCCGTTTGCCACGTCCACGTGTACTCGTTTGCGTTGACTCGTTGACCCTGTATATTCTACAACAAGTTGCATAATTTGTATGTACCATTATACAATTGTACAAATATCAGGAGGTAACTGGAGTGGACTGATAGATGTTTGTGGCATGCTGTCTAATTGCCAATTGCCAGGCAAGGTTTCTGCTGTCAAATGTGTCAGGGGAGGCGAAACCGGGGAGGCTGTTAGCACTCATGGGACCATCGGGCTCTGGCAAAACAACTCTGCTCAATGTGCTAGCACGGCAGCTCACGGCATCGTCTTCCTTGCACCTTTCCGGGTTTCTGTATGTCAACGGTCAGACTATCTCGAAGGGCGGATATAAGTAAGTTGTATTCATGCAGCTGGGGTCTTACTTCTGCTCTTGCTTGTGGAGAAGAGCTAATGACTACTTTCTTGCGCAGGATTGCTTTTGTGAGGCAGGAAGACCTGTTCTTCTCACAGCTTACGGTGCGGGAGACGCTGTCACTTGCTGCTGAGCTCCAGCTTCCTGACTTGTGGGCTCCTGAGAGGAAGGAGAGATATGTCAATGATCTTTTGTTTCGTCTGGGGTTGGTGAGTGCTAGCATTTTGGTTAGTGTTTGTAGAAATTGAAGTGAACGGTTCCGAGGACAGTCTTAATGGTTGGATTGTTGACTAGGTCAATTGTGCTGATTCTATTGTTGGTGATGCAAAAGTTCGTGGAATAAGTGGGGGTGAGAAGAAGCGCCTCTCGCTTGCATGTGAATTGATTGCTAGCCCTTCAGTGATCTTTGCGGACGAACCAACAACAGGTGTTTAAAACTGATTTAGTCTTGGCCTTCCCTACTTGAACAAGGGTTTTCTTTATTACTTCTAAATGTGGTTCTAATTTATACCTGAGACATTTTGCATGTAGCTAATATGTTTTATTGTTGCGTTCACGTCTTACAAATACAACAGTTCATGTCAGATATGACACCATGATCAAATTAAAATAAATTGTCTGTATTATCAAAATCATTTATGTTAAAAGCACATTAAATTTGTAGTCGTGAAGCATAAGGATCTGAACTTACTTTTTTAACTGCAACATAACTACTTTGGCTAGTGTTTTGCATCATCTTTTGTCATCATTCAGGGTTCGTTTTCCTGTTTCACCATGATGAGACAATGGCAACTCAGCTCTGTTGCTGAATGCTCTATGGTATTTCTGTTTGCATGTCCATTTGAGCTAGCATAAAACAGGATCCATCATAAAAATTAGTCATCAACATCTGTTTGGTCATCTGACAATATGAAAATGTCAAATGTTAAGTTATTATTTTTTGTATGTTTGTGATTTGTCTTTTAGGCCTTGATGCCTTCCAAGCTGAGAAGGTCATGGAGACTCTTCGTCAACTTGCTGAGGATGGGCACACTGTTATCTGTTCGATACACCAGCCAAGAGGTTCAGTCTATGGCAAATTTGATGACATCGTACTACTGTCAGATGGAGAAATTGTATACATGGGGCCTGCAAAAGAAGAACCTCTAACATACTTCGCATCATTAGGGTTGTTATGCTACACCCTTTTCTTTCCTTCCAGTCTTTTCTTAAGTATGTTATTATCATGGTTTCTACTTGATTTGAATGTTTTGCCCTATATATTTTTGTGTGCGCTCACTTTTTGGCTTGCCTGGTGTAGCATAACATAATAAATAATTCATTTCCAATCCTGAACAGTGAACATGCACCCCTTCTCAAACCTATTTTTTTTTAGTATAACAAAACAATCAGGCATTGTGGTGTGCACTTTCATTGTTTGCATTTCCAATAAAACTAATTACTTCGTGTCACTGACTACATTCATCCTTGTTGTCATTGTACACATCAAAATTCCAATATTAGCTACGCTAGAACTTTTGAAGGTTAATTGTTGCATGTTTGTACCATGCACATGCAGCATGCCTCTAGTCTCTGTCTATTTGAGTTTTGATCAATAAGAAATTGTGCCTTTTCTTTTGTTACGTAAATGGCCAATATATCATGATGTTTATTTTAATTTTGTTAGTATTGCCCATTGATAACTTGAGTTTTGATAATTTATCAGGTATCAGTGTCCAGATCATATGAACCCTGCTGAGTTCTTGGCTGATCTCATTTCCACTGATTATGGCTCAACTGAAAGTGTACACTCATCACAGAAAAGGATTGAGAACCTCATTGAGGCGTTTTCTAACAAAGCTCTGCTCACTGAAGGTAACAGTTTAATTACAACTCCAAACAATCCTGAATTGTCTGTCAAACTTGTTCGGAAGACTACAATGAAGCAAAGGCATGGTTGGTGGAGGCAATTTCGTTTGCTTTTTAAGCGGGCATGGATGCAGGTTCATCTCAATATATCTATCCTTTAATCCTGTTTCCAGCTTAACCTTTCTGTGTGTGTGTGAATATATTTTTTAGGTACTTACAAAGGCTAGCTGCTCTGAATATAGCTTTGTTGACATTTGATTTTAACCTAAGCATGTAGACCTTGATGTCATATTTTTACCTAAAGTGTCTGTAGTGTCCACCTATTACCTAACTCTGATCTTTATGAAATATACAGTTTATTGTTCATTTTAATTGATATTGGAGAAGCATTACTGTTCAAAACTTGTAATGTGCTACTTGCATAGCTATAAGATATTTTTGCCTCGAACACGCAGGAAAACTGTGACATTGAAAAAGAATAAATAGCTATAAAATATTTGAGGACAGTTGAGTACACATGTTAAGATGTAGGTTGACTATCTCTTGTCATCCATTGCTTCTAATGTGTAGGATCTTTTGTGTTCAGGCTTTTCGTGATGGACCAACAAACAAAGTGAGAGCACGAATGTCTGTTGCTTCAGCAGTTATATTTGGATCTGTGTTCTGGCGAATGGGAAAATCTCAAACATCCATACAAGACAGGATGGGACTACTTCAGGTAGAATAGTGTGAACCTTGAGGGCTTCTGAAGTTGAATTCTAGTTTGCACATATTTTGCATTCAGGATAGATGTAACATATTCACCGTCTTGAACATTTGTCACTTCATATGATTGTTCTGATTGTATCTTCATGAAGTTGTTCTAGAAATATTGTCTGAACATATTTTGTGTTTGATCTTTCTCCTTTTTAATATATGAGTTCAGGTGGCTGCCATAAACACAGCAATGGCTGCACTGACAAAGACTGTGGGAGTTTTCCCAAAAGAACGGACTATAGTTGACAGAGAACGAGCAAAAGGTTCCTATGCACTTGGACCATATCTTTCATCTAAGTTGTTGGTCGAGATTCCCATTGGAGCAGCATTTCCATTGATATTTGGATCAATTCTCTATCCAATGGCTAAACTTCATCCAACATTTTCTAGGTCAGTGTAATTTTAAATCTTTTTTTGGCAATGCTTGGAGACATTATTTTATGTATATCTATCGCAGTTTTGTTTATGGTTGTCTAAAGAACGTTTCACACTCTCCCAGATTTGCCAAATTCTGTGGTATTGTGACTGTTGAGTCATTTGCTGCATCAGCGATGGGTCTCACTGTTGGAGCAATGGCTCCTACAACTGAAGCTGCAATGGCTCTTGGGCCATCCCTTATGACAGTGTTTATTGTATTTGGAGGATACTATGTTAACCCTGACAATACTCCAGTCATATTTCGTTGGATCCCAAGAATATCTCTCATTAGATGGTATTCTTCATTTTTTTCTTGTGATATAAGTTGAGTCTAGTGTAGTAAGCATTGCATCATCTAACAACTAGATGCTATTCTTTTGTCATTAATTTTCAGGGCCTTTCAAGGGCTTTGCATTAACGAGTTCAAGGGTCTGCAATTTGAGCAACAACATTCATATGACATTCAAACGGGTGAACAGGTAGTGTTTTGGTGACATTCAGCAGAAAAAAAAAACTGACCAAAAAAGAATCTGGCCAAATGCAAGGGGAATTACTTGGCTTGAAATCTTGTAATGTATTCTAATGAAAATGGCTCATTGCAGTTTGTCCATGGATAGAATTATTGTGGGTATTTGTCAACATCATGATGACCGCAAAATAATATTTATTTGCTTAATTGCTTTTATGGGAAAAATATTGTTAGTTGATTGTGATTATTTTTTTATTGGTCAACCTAGTGTCTTCTATTTGTTAACTCCAAGCCAAGCTGCTTTCAACATTTTTATAATTCTATTTAAAGAAAATATTCCAGTTTTGATGTGCTACTTTTATGTGGCAGGCCTTGGAAAGGTTTTCATTGGGAGGAATTCGAATCGCAGACACGCTAGTTGCACAGGGTAGGATTCTGATGTTCTGGTACTGGTCAACCTACCTTCTTCTGAAGAAAAACAGACCAAAGTATCAGCCGCTCCTGCCTCCATTGGAAGAAGATCAAAATAAGCAGCAGGTGGAATAAGTGTCTCGTTGCAGACTTCCATAGAATAAAATAAGGTAGGGCATCTTTTCATCAATCATTTCTTTGCAGTGGTCCCAAATCAATAAAAAGGCTTTATGTGTGGGGAACATACTGCAATTAGCAACGCAATCAATGTACTATATTGAATCTTTGTTACTTCTATACCTTTCTGTTCGTAATTGTTTCCATCGCTTAAGCTTTTCTCATGTTGAATGGGAAATTATCACCAATAAAACTTGCCCTGGACCCTAGTTAGAGTTACTCTCACATGGAATATGAACTCCCAGTCCCACGATGACAGTGCAGCCATCATATAGTCATTTCAGTATCTTGTTATTCTCTATAGTTTGCTGCTGTTGTTGTCGAGAAATGACTTGAGGATTTGTGTGACCAACAATTTGGGTAACTCTGCAGTCTACATGACCCACTGAGATTAACACTTGTTAGCTATGAAAATGTTAAATCACATCTCACTTCGTTGCTGTAGTTTGAGCTGATGCTCGTTGCACATCGTTGGTTACTTGGCTGGCTGGATCACAATGATAACTGAAAACCCATCTTAAGTTCTGTTGTTTGTTTAGGTGGGTATTTCGATTCAATTATACGAGCTAAATTGTAGAAGATTTATAGCAAACCCTTCATCTTCTTAACACGCCTTAGATTCTTCTGACACCTCACATCACTAAGATGCTCTACTGAACTTTTTTTTAAACATAAGTGGGAATACAATACAATACAGACCAAATCTTAGTGAGCCAGCAAAGTAGGTATTGCAGGTGAAAGTGTGAAACATGTGTTAGTGTTGTGTTCACCTCCAACACGGCCCTTTAATTTGTGTTTCCTTGTCGAAGCTACACCACTTTACCATCTGATTTCCCCACCCATTGTTGATGTGGTTCTCTCTTTGCAGTATATCGCGAGTCAGAACGAGGCCGCGCCTTCTGCACAGTATCTGGTTATGAGAGGACCCCAGCATTATGGACGAGCCGAGGCAGAGGCAGTATACAATCCGCCGCCCAGAAGCCTTTTTTTTTTTCAGATCCTCCTAGTTGAAGTCAGCTCAATGATCAGAGATCGCAGCAGAGCCGTTGTTTCTGTTCATGATTGCCTGGGGCTGGGGCCATGCCGCTGCAAATAAACTATCTCCAAATCACCGTCCAAAGTACGAGCACCGGCAGAGTGGCAGTAGTACTAGTTTCTTATGGTTTAATCTCTGTACGTGTCAGCCTCCGGTTGGCCGGAGTGAGATAACTAATCACTCGTCTGCGTACACCTCAGACGCGTGAAGCCCATAAATGCGTACACCTCAGACGGTTGGCCGGAGTGCCTATAAATGCGTGCCCATTTGGGCTCGAAATTCTCATCAGTTTCGATTGATTCTTCTTCCCTCTCCCTCGATCCCCAGTTTGGTTGTGCAGTGTTCTCTTTCTTGCCTGACATACAAAGATCAGCTCCTGAGCCGATCCATGGCTGCTGCTTCTTCCCTCTCCCGTCCAGTTCCAGCAACGCCGGCCGCGCTCCGGCACGGGGCGGCGTGCCACGGACCGGCTCTACCGAGGAGGGCGCCCCCGGCGGCGACAACACGATGCGCCGCGCTACGCCGGGACGCGAGCGGCGGCCGGGGCCAGTACGGGGGCGCGCTGGTGGACGAGGGCATGTCCGTGCTGCGGCGGCGGATCCGGGAGGCGCGGATGGCGGAGACCAACTACGAGGCGCCCGCCGAGTGGGCGCCGTGGGAGAAGCGGTACTACCCGGCCTACGTCTCCGACGTGTCCAGCCTCGTCGGCGCGCTGCAGCTGCTGCTCATGGGCACCAGGCCCGGCGTGGCCATCGCCGTCGCGGCCCTGGTGCTCGCCAGCGTGCCCGTGTCCGCCGTCGCCGCGCTACACCATCTGGCGCTGGTGGCCGAGGCCGTCCTGCAGTCCGTGCATCACATTTCTTGATCCAGTCAGACCATTTTTTTTTTCTCTTTTTTCTTTTCTTTTGTGGCCTTGAGGCAGTCTGCCACGTGTATAGTATTGGAGACTTGTAGTAGCAGTTCTTTGTCTGCAGCTGGATTGGAGCAAATTGCTAACCAATGTTGGATTCCTAAGACCGGCTTGGGTTTCTGAAGATGACGAGGGATTTGCAGTATTTGCAATTAGATTTGCTGCACTGAAAGTGAAACACATTCAGAATGAACCTATCCGTGGAATTAATAATAAAATTGAGAAACATTGATGCAATTCTAAACAGCTTGTACCAAACCGAATCGATTTTTTCTGTAATTCTGTGTTAGGCTGTGCCTTACTGCCTTTTACTTTTTTTTCACAACAGTAAAACCGAATTTCATTACTTGCCTCAACGAAATTACAACTTTTACTGTACTGCCAAACAGAAAATTTCGATTCACCAATTATTTGAGAACTAATGATGCATCGAATTTGCGGTCCATCATTATACCATTCTGCCTTATTATTTGAGTACTAATGATGGACCGCAATATACGGAATACAGTCCATTGAGCATAACTTGAAGTAATGTTGAGAGGTCTAAGCAAGTGGCAGGCTGGCTCCTCTGCTCCCAGCTGAAACAGTCATCGGATTCGGATAGCATGGCCAGCTAATACAGTCATCTGATAGCGTTTGACACCGGCGAAAGCAATTGAGATGGAACGTGCAACCATAACAAAGGTTGTTTCGTAATAGAAGGGGCAGCGCAAATAACTTGCATAGTTAGTTTTTTTAATTATATTTTTTTGGATTTTCTTACGTGAAAACATTATTTATATGTAGTTTTTTTTTGTTTGCTTGTATTGTCCTCTCTTTCTATATGCGTTCTTACTGTATTTATTGACACGACTCTATATAGCTATCATCAATTAATTCCTCTATTTAAAGCTATTGTTGTCTCTCTTCTCTTCATTTTTTTCCCACGCCAATGTCCTTCATTTTTTTTTGGTGGGCTGCATTTCTCAATAAAAACATTGTTGAAATCTCTCGCAAATTATTCAATTGCTTAGACATTTTCTAAGTTGTACATTTTATTGTCAATTTGTGGTTGTCTTTTTTCCCCTAAAACTTGGAACGAAGGGAGTACTATTTTAGGGGCTAAAGAAAAAAAATCAAATAGCATGATCGATCACCATCCCACTCCTCAAACTAATCACTTTCGTATCATAGTCAACATCTATGGTAATAATGTGTGAATATATATAAAGCAATGGATCGGTGCAATTTTCAAACAGAGCGTGCGATTTCTGCGCATAAGAAGTAAAGGGCGTGTTGGCTTGTTCCGCCACTCACAAAATCATCGTTCACGCGTCGCCGTAGGAAACGATATTTTTCTCTCACAACAATCAGCCGGAACAGTATTTCAGTCCTGCCGAACAAGCCCAAAGAATGAGATTAGAATAAAAATGCTTTTCCGCCATCTCATTCAAAGGAACCTTGGAGGAAATTCCCTAGTGGGTTATATAAACGGATATCATTTCGTTTGAAGGAGCCTAAAAGAAAATGACACTTGCTGAATTCAGAGACGGCATCTTTAATATGATGCTCTTCTTTCTGTTGCACCTGCCATCCACATCCATGTGCCCAAGTTGGATCATTGAACCAAAAACCAGTGTACTTTTCAAAGAAAAAAACTAACTAGCTTCGTCATTTATGTCAGCAGAATGTGCCGATTTTAGCTAGCTGCTGCTGTTCTGTGATCAATCAAACTGATAAAGGTGCCGTCAGGGTTATTAGAGTCGGCTGCACGTCCAGACGACCAGACATTTCCCAGCTGAACCAGAAAAACGGTGCCTGATCGATGCGGACGAAACTGCAGCGAAAACCTACGTACCACACGCACTCGGTTACGTAGCTATCAGCTAAACGCGTCGACAAAAGTCTGTCCATTGAACCTGACAACTGCAAATTCTCAGTACGCGTTTTAGGGGCTCCCAGTAATCAATGCCATCCTAATCTTGAGATACGTGGCTTGAATTACATCTTGAGTAAAAATAGTAGCATATGTATTACTAGAGATTCTAACGGTCTATTTTTTTTATTATATCATCATTATATTACGCAAAAGTTATAAAAGAAAATGGCGTTATTATTTAATTATGTTAAAAAATTAACAGTATTCCAATGTAAGGGTAGCCACAATGATAGCCTGTTCGCTTTGTCGTATTTGGCTTATAAGCCATAACTTATCAGCCAACGAACAGTATTTTTCTCTCACACCAAACCAGCCAACAGTACTTTCAGCCATGGCTTATAAGCCAAACAAGCCCAAACGAACAGGGCATATATGCATAGGAGACACGTGACCATTCCGAAGCTGCTATTATTTTCTCACAATGTTCAACCAATAAGTAGTCTATGAGGTGAGTCCACCCGAGACAAAAATAATTTTCCATTTCTAACATGGGTAGAATGTGGACAAAGAGGAAGGAGTAACACAAATAACATTTTTTTATTCTCTATATTTGAATAGTCCATAAGTAGATAGGTACCTCTTTTATTATGGACTACTCTAGGCTAGTCTCGTAGTGTTTTAACTAGCTGTAAGTTATTTTAATTCTTATAGACGTCTTTTGAATAAGATTGTGATTGCTCTAAATTAATGGAGTAGTACTGATTAAGCATAGACAAAAAAATTCATGTGTTGAAGGGTCATACTAAAACAGTTGAATCTTTACATATAATATGTTTTATTGAGACAAAGCATAACATTATTTCTTCTCCGTCGTTGTCACTTACGCACCCGAGATAAACTCTTCTAAATAAGAGGGGGAAAATAATTCTTCTTTTAATGAAAAGGCAGAGCAGTAGAGCACCAGCACGGGCACCAGCACCTGCACCTGCTGCCAGTGTTCCTAAAAAAAGAGACAACCAGCACCAGCAACTGCACCTGTTGCCAGTGTTCCTAAAAAAAGAGAGACAGACGAACCGATCGAAGTGAACCGACCATAATGACCTGGTAGCTTAGGGAGCAAGCATTGGGCTGTGAGCTAGAGATCGATCGAGCCC